ATAAAATTAAAAAACCTATTATGTATGATGTTATCCGTGCTTTGTGAAAAGCTGAATGGGCACTTTCTGATATCATGGCCATCATCACTAAAACCAGATTTGCTTCTGATTGAACGTGGCAGTATCCTACATCTCAGCGTGTTTGCTCTATGACGAGTAAACGTTCATCAAACCAAATTGATTGCATTTTTTACATTCTCTGACTAAGCTTTTAATTCGAAAGTACAAGACATTCGCTTGACACCGTTCTCGGTATGGTATTTTCTTCGTCAAACAAAATTGCTCTCTGATTTGCAGTATGTTATGACAACTCAGCAATTTATTACAAAAACACAAGAATATATTTTTTATTACAGTAAAAAAGAAAAGAAAAAGAAAGTGCATCATCATTACACCTACAAATAGTATAAAAACAGAATGTAAGTAAACACAAGTTTTACTTTCATTCACAAAACATGTCCGATCGCCATCGACAAGAACAAACACGGTAAATTGAATCCAAGTAATATGCAGATATAGAGTCGTAATAAAATTCATGTGGTTGTTGCTTTAGAAATTCAACGGACGCTTCTCGACATCATGGTCATAGAGGCACCGACGCTGGAGACACGTCTTATAATAGGGAAAATCAGTCACCACAGAGAAGAGTTGATCCACGTAGTCAACAGCAACAACAGGTCGATCGTAGATATCCGCAAGAGGAACAGGTCGATCGTAGATATCCACAAGAACAACATTACAAACAGTCACCGCAAAATAGTTCCAGATTTTTTTATCATGCATCAACAGAGCAGCCACGTGGGCCACCGTATCAAAATGAGTCTCGTTATCAACAATCTCATAATTTAGTTGACAGACAATATCCTCAGCAACAAATTGACTCTTCACTATCATCATCAAGGCATCAACAACAAGTTCAAACAAATGAATCTGTAAGTCATTTATCTTTCGCTATCTTCCAAGTTATCAATTTTTTTGCCCTAAAGGTTAGTGGTAGACGAAAACCAGTTGTATTTGTTATCTACTATTCAATGTACGGTCATGTTAAACAATTAGCGCAAAAAATAATTATCGGGCTCGAAAAGAATGGCGTTGAACCTAAATTGTTTCGGGTGAATGAAACCTTGCCACGAGACGTTCTCGATAAAATGCATGCATCACCACCAGATACTTCTATTCCAGTTATTGAGGTGAATAGATTACCTGAAGCTGATGCATTTATGTTTGGATTTCCGACGAGATTTGGTAGTGCCCCTGCTCAAATGAAGACATTGTTTGACTCCTGCGGTCAGCATTGGATAAACAATACCTTGTATCATAAACCAGCTGGTCTTTTTTTTTCAACTGCTGGTTTGGGCGGCGGACAAGAGACGACAGCATTAACAACTGTAACGTTTCTCACTCACTTAGGCATGATTTTTGTACCATTGGGGTATAAAAATCCAAAATTACGTGATTCAAAGGAAATTCGTGGTGGTAGTGCATATGGGGCGGGAACACTAGCGGGTGCTGGTGACAGACAACCAACGTCATTGGAGTTGGATATAGCTGAAAGTCAAGGACATGAGTTCGCTGATGTCGTTAAGAAAATGGCTGTATAATTTTTGTGAGCAATTAACTGTAGCTAAAAGCTATTAGTAGCTGACGAAGGAGCTGAAACGAAAAATTCGAAAAAGTTTTATGATTTTATAACTAACTACAATAAAAGTTTATAATAGGATCTGTAAAACTCGGCTCACATTCTTGAAACTTTGCACCCGTTTTTTGCAGGTGTTGTTCTAGTTCAGTGCTTTCTGTACTAGAAACTTTTTTGGGTGTTCGTTAGGCGTTGCTATACTCAGCTCGACGAGTTCTATCGATTGGCTAACTCAGATTCTAATTTAAGGGTGTTCGTGGCTGTTCGTAGGTGTTCGCGTCTTTTAGCAATACCCTTCAGTTTAGAATACTATAATGGAATATTTTTCTGCTGGTAGTCTGGCTGAATACAGCTTATATCAACAAAGAGTAGTCATATTCATGGAAACGTGGTTCACAATTATTCGAAAAAATCAAATAGTACAATTGATCGTGACACTAATCCAAGAGCTCGTCTTAAAACATAATTTTAAGCAACAGTATTTAGCTGAATCGTTTCTACAAATTTGCATGCGGGTCAGGTAGAATATCAATTTGAACATATATAAATACTCAGTCGTCAGTATTAATTGACTGACTAACTTTCATCGAAGGACCCACCTAAACACTTTCTAAATCTATGTACGCGTGCCCCGTTCTATTTATTCTAGTTGTAAATGTATCGAGATACTTTGTAAGGTAGCAAAGATTGACAAAATTAAGCGATTAAAACCAATTTATTTATGTATTACATTAGAACCGCATCTTCTATTTATAAGGCTAATTAGTAGAAAAATAAATATTGAACAGACACTTAAAAGTTCTTTACCAAAATGTTTTATGATATCATGAATGAATTGGAACATAACATTTCTGACCGAGCCGTTTTAAAATTGCACAATAGTCCTTGACGACAATTGTGATCACAAGCTGTACCATTTGCAAACGATTTTGTATAATATTGATAAACTAATCCCATTAAATCACCATCAATATCAGCTAGTAAACGATTGATAAAATTATTCCAATCATTTGGAAACAGATAATCCATTTTATAGGCATTTTTAACTGAATATTCATCAAGAAATATTGTTTTATTAAATAAATTCGATGCTGTCAAATTCATTATTACAGTACGATGATCCAATACCCAGTAGGTACTTGAATTGTATTCACCATCAGCTGTGTATATACGATAACCAGGATTTAAAAATGATTGTGGTGTTAACGATGGTGTCAAATAAGCCTAATTGAGAATAAATAGGACAAAAATAATTTTGATGTTAGTCAAGAAAAAATAACATTGCGTTACCATTGAAACTGGACGTGTTTTATTAATCTCATCATAAAACATGATAATTTCATCATTGTGTGTATGACCATAAAATTGTCCAGCTATAGTATTTTCGTATCTGCAGCAGTTTATAACCAATGAAAATAAATAAACTTGTAATTGAATGTACTTACCGATTGACGATTTTATAAAAATTCCAACTAAACGATTCTAAACATGAGCTTGGTGGATGATGACCAATTATATGAACCTAAAAGAAAATGGTATTTGTCAATCTACAATAATGAAGAAGACTTAATTACTTTTTCATTATTGTCTTCGGCATACTGTAGCCAATTCATGAGCTTAAATGAATACACAAGTTATGATCATTCAACAGTATTATTGAAAACAATTATACCCATTGTAGTTGGTCTAATGGATCAGTTGAGTTTATTAATAACCAATAATTGTCTGATGCACAATAATTCATATTTAATGATATTAATCTTAAACCAGGATGAACGAGTGTAGTATAAAATGCTCCACGAAATATACTCGATCTTGTCTCTTCTGGTAATCCTAACTGAATCCAGTTGTCAGCTAATGATGTATATAACCATGTGAGATTATCAGATTTTATTAATGGTGTTGGATATAAATTACATGGAGCTGATTCATGATTTCCGACTGCTGAATAGAATATTTTATTTGGAAAATATTTTTTTAGTAAACTTGTTATCGTGTCAATAGCGTATAATTGATCAGCGCGAGATTGATTCCATACATTGTGAGGTGGCAAATCTCCTGTATGATAAACAATATCAAACTAAAATAAATTTTATTTAATTTTCATTTTCCTATTCAAAGAAAACATTTTTACCTCTTCGGTTTCTGCAATATATTCTAATATTTTTTCAGCAGTCCACAAGGGTAAATCGCAATTTCTGTAATCTCCCCTGAACACAAGAAAGACAAATTAGACATCGAATGACCGATTATTAAACGTTTGTCTTACCAAAATCCAGCACCAATATGACCAGAATCTCAGTAAAGGGAGAAAGAGAACTTAAAAATTTCTAGTTAAACAACATCGTTTTACCTGGTGTTCCATATCGGCAACATAGTGGTTCAGGACAATCAGCCAAACTTCCCGGTTTATAAGCAAAATCAATGTGGATATCAGATATATGAAGAATAGTTAATTTTGGTGAATCAGGCTAAAATGAAGTCTGTCAAAATATATACGGGCAAAACCAGCATAAAGTAGACATGACTACCGTTTGTTCATCTTGCACTTCACCCTACTCCTATTTTGGGGATAACTCTTTATTTGAATATATGAAGAAGACTTTCCTCTTTAAAACTATAATTAATTAAAACTAATTAGCTAATTAGTTAATTAATTAGAAACAGCAAACAGCGCCTCGAAACTAAGGTCTTTGCTCTTAAGAATTTCAAAGAATGTTTCTATTCCCAGTGCGCATCTAGTGTAAAATTTTCAGCAAAATCGGAGGCACTCAACTGCCATGCCAAAAGAAGGTTTTCTAGAGATCTCCTGGAGACCTAGTTGAAAAAGTTACATTCAGTTACCATATGGAGATCCTTATGTATCATTTCTATTAAGTAGAAGTCTTACAGGTGACAACAATGAATAGCAATGACTTTTTTCCTTTTGGATTTCGTACTCTATCATGTCCGCAACAGCGGCTTGAATGAATTTCAGCGCCAAAAATACGAATGATTTAGAAAAGCCGCTGCTGCCAGTTTTGTAGCCCGAAGTATACTCTACAACATGCGATTTGAAAAATCTACGACATACTTTATCGATTTCAGAATTTCGAGAATAGTCGCATGCATCAAAAAAAGCTTGTCTTTTTCAGTCACGTCCGCGACGATGTAGTTTTTCGCGAGAAAGGTAATCTTAACCAGTATCCTCAGAATTCATTTTTTCGTGGCATCGTTAGCAACCAGATACACGTTTCTGATATAAACAACACCATTAGAAAGTCTAACACTTCAGATATATAGTGACTCAAAGTTTACGAACGCTGGTTCTGCCCATATATTTTAAAATTAGTGCGACTTAAGTTGTGTATCACATGAATGCAAAAGATCTCGTATCAAAAACTGATGAAAATACTGCCTAAATTCTTCGTAAAATTTCTCCTTTGTGCTATCAAAGTTGACGTCTAATTTAGAAACTACAATGATGACATACAGCAATTTAGTTATTTATTTAATGATAAACAGGAAAAACCCATCGTCATCATTAACAACAAAAATTCACGATTCGCACTTACGTGAGAAAGTTTCTTATTAAAAACCAGTCATGATCGGTCACATTTTCAAAAACCAATATATGTGACAATAAGAAGTCGACTAGAAATTTCAGTCAGACATGTTTTGCCGAATCACAAACAAGAAAGAGTCAGGCTCTAAGTAATCATTAATTCAAAATTTCAGTGATCGTCTCACACAGGGAATGAGTCATTCAAAACATTGGAAACTAAACAACAAATTCGCTCTGATATGTCGAATATGATACTACAGAGAAATGTATCTGCATGTCATCATATCACACAGAACAGCATACAAATTAGATTTGGATCATGCACCTACACAGTAGTTTCAGTTTCAGAGTTGAAGTTGTATTCATTCGTAGTAAAGAATATATGTACGATATTTTGTTCTTGAGTGGAAGTGTTCCTTTTGTATAGCAAGCGCAGTATGTTGGACAAAAATGCGCTTAAAAAATGATAAAACAGACGTTGTTTTTACTGTATGGAATGCACGAGTAGTGTTCTCAGTGGATTCTAATGAAAAAGAAACGGCCTACAAAATGTTATAGTTGTTTTTAAAAACGGCATATGTTTACTGTTTCTATTGTATAAAACATGTATATTGTGTTCTATATTGTGTAAAACGTCAAAAGCTTGAGAACTATACTTAGGCATAGTGAAAAGCTACAGTTTCTCTCAAATCTTATCATATTTCATGTTCTTTTACAGAGTAATAACTTTTTTGAACTGAAATTTTTATTGGTCATCAAACAACAGTAGAGCTCTTTGGCACTATTAATGTCGATATAATTTTGGACATAGATTTCTTTTTATTTAGCAAAAACTTATAATCGCTTTTTATCTCTAAGTGTTTTATTTAAGAGTTGTCAGAAGAAAACATTCAAATAGGAACTCCATTTTCACAATTACTTGTGTTATTTCAGAAATTTGACGCATCCGCCCTGTCCTGCAGGGTAAACGTCAACGATAGTCAAACTAATAATGCTAACTCGTTCAGTTTATCAAAAAAGGAATATACACAAATGCCAAAAATGAAAGATTCTATGTTGAGAAATAAAATAGTACTATGAAATGTTGTAATTCTAGAATATAACCCCTCGTATCATACTAATGCAAGATTTGTATTACAAGTCTACACACTAGAAGAAGAAACCACGTGTGTAAATTAAATTAATGTAGAATATATTCCATACGATATTATGTTCCAAAATAAAGATATATCAAATACGAACGGAAAAAATTAATTGCTTTGATGAATCATAAGAATTATACCGGATGTCAGAAAACTGTAAAACGAAAGCGATGATTTTCCCCCAAAACCTGAAAAAGAAAAACTCTTCTTATGCAACAAATGATGTCAAGAAAAGTTTGAAATACAGCCGAAAGATAGAGCTTTTCAACGACTACAACATACCTAACTAATTGCTTTAATAACGTAAAGGGTCAGCGAATAAAATCAAAAATTCTATTTCGATTAAGAATTTGGCTAACGAGCGAACATTCCCAACTGACAAATCGCTTTCAGGCTGAAACCTAGTGGACTATAGGTAGTCGACCATGCTGATTCCGAATATCAACAAGAGACATGCTGCTAGGCCTCCAGAGAATGGTTTTCTGTAAAACTAGTTTTTCAGAAACTTTAGAAAATCTCTGAAACTTTCCTTAATAAGTCATGTTTGTAGCGTGCGAAAGTCTGATTAAAATGAGACATCTCCCAGCTCTACACGACCTTTCTTTGCAAAGTTATAGAATTCACAAGAAAAGCCCTAAATGTTTATTATCACCTCAGAGCTACAGAAAGAAGAAGGAAAGATGAATTTAGGGCTTTTCTTGTGAATTCTATAACTTTGCAAAGAAAGGTCATGTAGATCTGGGAGATGTCTCATTTTAATCAGACTTTCGCCGCTACAAACATGACTTATTAAGGAACGTTTCAAAGATTTTCTGAAGTTTCTGGAAAACTAGTTTTACAGAAAACCATTCTATAGAGACCTAGCAGCACGTCTCTGGTTGATATTCAGAATGAGCATGGTCGACTACCTATAGTCCACTAGGTTTCGGCCTGAAAGCGATTTGTCAGTCGAGAACGTTCCCTCGTACGTTGAAGTTTTGCGCTATGCTTTGTATAATTTTTACTTCTGCACTATCTGAAAAAGTTTTAAAGGGATGGACAGATTAGAAGACTTCAGATGTGTCCTATCGTTCACGGTAGGGGGATCTTCTATTGTGTTCCTTAGAGAAGTCGTATTTTTCGGCGGTACGCTCAGCAATAAAACACGTACTTCAAAACCGCAGTATTTTCTTTACACCATACAGTAAATTACACACAAAAAGCTGTTAATTTCATTCTTGTTCGGCAACAAAAGAAGAAAAATACACATTTACTTATTTCTCCACATATCTTTTAAAGGCAACTGTTTATTTTGGTTTTTAATTACAACCCTAGTGAAACTCCTTGTAACCAAGATTTTGACTTCTTGAATTTTTTCAATAAGATCTTGGTTAAGAAAATATAAGACTTCAGGAAGTCAAGATCTTGAACATCTTGTAATCTCTTGACTTTTTGTACCAATAGCTGGGAAATTCTCGAATCTTCGTTTTTCTTTTTTACACTCTTGTGTAAATATAAGTGTGGAAGAACTGCAGACTAAAGAGAAGAGAGACCCTGCACATACATACCGATCGGAACACAAAGAACAAGTGTGTACTAAAGACAGAGCACATAAATAGCAACAATGTTTATTGGGAAAAACCAAAATAAACACCTAACCCAACAGACTTACTGAATAGCCACTGAATAAAACACTGTTTCTGCGCTAGCTTGTGAAGTGGTCTCACTGGCATTCATTGTTGCTCGAGGACACGAGTACGTTCGCAAGTGTTAGAGGAGAGGGCAAAATAGGAGTGTCTATGATATGATAGATGATTTATTTCCACCTGATTCTTCGTAAGAAAGAGGAAGAATTCACATGACACAAATTAGCCGTTCAATAGAAAGTAAAGAGAATTTTCTACAGTTATTTGCCAGAAAACAAAGTGTACATTGATGATTTAAAACTGATCGTTGATTATATTGTTTTAGCTGCTAAAGAGACGGCGGGGGAAGGCGAGCGATTTCTATAGGAAAATCGCCCTCGCTGTTTTTGATTAATTTATAGATTTTGATTTTTTTCTAGAAAACCTAATGATCTTAAAGTTTCTTTCAGAAGTAAAGTATAGTTTTGCAGAGATTTTCAAGGTCTGTCGAATGGTGTGTGAATGACTTCTATTCTGCAGTTGAATTCCCTCAATCAAGTCAAAATACTGTGGATTACCTAACATTAGATTTGGTGCTCTATCGAAGGTCGATCATTTTCGCTCTACATAAATAGTCAAAAAGTATTTTAAAAACACAGTTTTGTAGCCCGTGAGAAATTCTATCTATTGATATATAGTATTAAATTAGTACACGTTTGGCATGTAACGAAAAATCGAAAATAGTAAAAGGTTGACTTTCTTGATCGAACAACTTTTAAAATTTTTTCCCAAGCTACAAGAAAGCAGGAAGCAAAAGTAGCATGCGAAAATAAATGTGGATGTGATCAGCTATCACCACTACTACAAATTAATCAAAAATCGCGGAGCCGTTATCCTATAGAAATCACTCCTCCTTTAAAATTATTTCTTTCGATGACGAATTTTAGTAACGAACGTAAGTTATAGCAAAAATCATTATGTAATTACGTACCGCTGGCGGCTGTGGTGGCGATACAGGCGGCTTTGGCACATTTGGTAATGTCAGATTCCAATTCATTCCTGGAATATATGGTTGTTTTTCGCAGCTGAACGCCAATGTACATAATTGTTTGCTTGTTAATTTACTTGTTGCAATCACCTCTATCATAGCATCCTAAATATGAACATCAATTTATATTAAAATATCATATAAACTTAAATATCGGGTGACGCAGACAAAATCGCGTACTTTGTTTCAATCATATATTCCAGTTTTTTTATGCTAATTTTACTTAATTTGCTCAAGCACATTCAGAAAAAGTGTTTTTCTAGCAAAAATACCACGGGATTTTGGTCTGTTTCAAAAGTGCTTGGGCAAATGCAAAAGCCTGTTTTTCTAATAGCCCACGTTGAGTATATGCGAAATAAATGCCGTCCCACGTCCTGCAATCGCATAGAATAGTGCAGCACGTACTCAAAGTTTGAAAAACGAGGAAAATCGAGTCGAAATGTTGTTGTTTTCTGTCATTAGATGGTTTTTACTCTCAGCGAGAGCCACTTTATCGGATAGAGCTTGAAAAGATGCATCGAATGAAACGATTTTTATAAAAACTCTGTTGAGAACGTGCTTAACATTTTGAAACTTTCTCTTCGTTACGAATTTTGCAGAGCTGCGCATATAGATTGTGATTTGACGGTACCAGCTCATGAAAGTGTTTCGCTGAAAAGTGATGTAAATGCCCAGAAAAGGTCTGTTCTGCTGGGAAATGGGATTCCCACAGGTCTAGAAGACAATGATTCCATTGTTTTAAGATTTTTTAAACGGGATATTCGCAAGGGGGAAACGCCGTACTCCGTTAACTCCGTCACTCCGCGAAATCGAACCGGAATGGACGGAGTAGTGAAGTGATCTGGAGTGACCATGGAGTGAACGGAATTTGATATTTTCGATTGACGTGCTTTGCTTTCTCAAATTCTGTTTTTATTTGTGGCATTGTTTAGCTCCCAATGTTCCTGTAGTTCCTAAGGGTCCCATAATTTCCAATGTTCTCGTAGTCCTAATGTTCTTGTAGTTCCTATAGTTTTCAATGTTACTAGGATCAGGAACATTAGAAACTATGTGCACTAAAGGAACTACAGGAACATTAAGAACATTAGGAACTATGGGAATATTGGGAACTAAGGGAATCGTAGGAACTGCTATTATTATCGCTTCTTTCAAGACTTGGATTGCTAGCATTTATTAGTGCTGTGCATACTATTCCCGAGAAGAAAGCTGATCAACAAATGCGAGAGAAGAGAGTTATAGCACTTGTCACTCCGTCAATTCGTCCACTCCGGAGTGGAAGTTCACTCCGCAGAGTAGTGGAGTATGGAGTACAGTGTTTCCCCCTTGGATATTCGTCATCAGGAGCTCGAGTTGTACTAGTACGTTTTCGAAAGAACAACCCAGTGCTCCACAGGGGTCATTGCACGAGAACCACAACAAGTCATGGTCAATTAATGTCTCAGATTCTTTTCAGAGTAGTCCCATCGTGTTCAGCGTATGGGGAAACCTATAAATCCAAATTTTTAACTTAAACTAAGTGAGATACAGAATTATTATTTTTTGTTTCCACTTTTTGGATGATGAATTTTTCATCGAGAGATCTTCAGAAAACCGTCTATCACCAGGAGACTAAAAGTGCAGAGAAACTTAAAATTTGCATTTATAGGTTTTTCCATATGCTGAACACGATGGGGCTACTTTGAAAAGAATCTGAGACAAAGATTGAGTATGGCTCCACGGCAAAAAGTCGTTTTTTTCGTGATCATAGAGGTACAGACATATACATGTTAGACCTGTTCGTAAAAATTTACTGTCTGCTCAAAAAATATGGGTATGTTTTTCTAGTATAGCTGTTGTTCTACACGGAGAAAAAAATCCGTGAAACTCATGATGGTTTTTATACGCGGTTTCTCGCAGTCCGTTTGGCATAATTTTTTCACGGCTTTAGTTAGTTGTTTATGCTTTTATGCCCTATAGTTCCAATATGACAGTTTTGCTTTGACGGTTTTAAAACTGTTAGACAAACCGTCCAGGTAAAATTATGCAAGTAAAGTCGGCTACTTTGAAAGGGAAGAATAAAAGAACAGCCCTTCCAGGAATCGAACCTGCGACGCTTGGCGAGTATGAATTACGAGACCAAGACACAAACCACTGAACTGAGGAACTTACAGAAGTATGTCTTCGCACTGCATACTCATCATGTTCTCGGGTAGACTTCTGTAAAAACTTCAACGCCTTACGAAAATCTGTCGCTGCTGAATTTGTAAAGCTCCTCGCTATCGTACATGTATCTGAGATATAAAAGAGAAACTCTAACTGTATAAGTATGCACATATAACATATGATACCATGGAGTATATTCTATGACGGACGTCTCGAAACTTAAGGTTAGGAGAAGATATTCACTATACTCTTCCCGTCCACCTAAGACCATAGGCATCAGAACAATTTCAAGATAATCGCAGTTTTAAAGAAAAGAATTTATAAAATGAGAAAGTTTACATAACAGGTATATTTTGCAAAAACATGCGTCGGAAGACGTCTTCCCAACCTCCCTATCCCAAGTACCAGTTTTACTCTCGTATTTACCCGGCTATGTGCTTTATTAAATAATCCTGAGCGTGAGGTAGATTTGTTGAAAAGCCCAAGAGTCGCTTTATTAAAGTTATGTTAGTTGATTAGGAAGACTTTTTCACGATTGCATGAAAACGCTGTCACGGTTTTCCTCTTCACGCTTATATCTTTCATTGTTTTCATTTGGCAAATGGTCAGTTCATGATTTTATTTGTACAGTTTTGATGCATTTTACAGTTTTCATAATGTGGTCTTTTACTTCATGATTTTTCTACATGGTTTTTTTTCGCTGGTTATGGATCTTACGGTTTTTCTTACAGTTTTTTTTCACCGTGTAGGCATACTAAGAACCGACTTTCTGTACTACTGAATTCTCAGCATGCTTAGTACGAGCAAAACAAACTTGTGATGAGTCGATTATTTTTACCTTATATTCATGAATTGCGCCAATACACACCGCTTCATCGACCAATTTTTTGACGTCGTTACAAAAGTTAATAAAAACTAAAATAGCATTTTTCTTTAAATATGGTTAGTCTCGTTTAAACATTTAATAAGCTTACAGTTTTCAATATGTTGAGTTTGATTCCATTCGATGAGTAATCGCATCTAGAAGAACAGTATTTTCTCAAAAGAAAATGTTCTAAATACATTGATGATTTGATTTACGCACTACAGGTACGACGAGGTCACAAAATTCACAATACAAACGAGAATCTTGCTTTAATGATAATTTGAATAACTTCAAATAATGTGAGTGGTCCATTTGATGTCGATATTGAGTTAAAGTTGAGATAAACTTGATATTCTCTTCGCTGTTTAACTCATTTCTATTCAACAGTTGATCAACTGCGTCATCATCAGTTAGAATAGAACGAGCATGATTAGTTGATAAAAATAACACAATTAATACGAAAGTAATCAACATGTTGTCTAAAGTAATTCCGTCAATCCTTGAAAATAAAATAATTAACGTTACAGATCTGATGAGCAGTACGTGACAGATTTGTCTCCCAAGGGAAGTACCCTTAGTGATAAATCGCTTGTTCAACAGAAGCCACGTAGCTGTAGGTAATCGACGGTGCTGAATAAGGATATCACAATGGGAACTGATTACAGACCTTTAAAGACACTGTTTTCTGGAACTCTATTCTTCCATGGCCAAATTTTTTTTCGCTAAATCAATTTTTAGACCTATCTCTGTTATAGTGCATGTCAAGTTACCTTTGTTCCGAAGTTTTCATGGCTAACCAGTGTGTTTTAAAGATGCTTAAGTCAAATTATATTAGACAGGATTCAGATGTGTTTAAAAATTTAAATAATGTTTGTTTTGTTCATTCATAATCAAGATAACAACGTCAAATAAAAGATTATTTTGAATCTTATTTTATTACATGCTGTTGATGTAATCAAACTTTTTTAACATTTTTTCCATTGAATATCATTTTCATTAGTTTTGAAACTTTGCAGCTGCAGCCATGTGACAACAAACAATAACCAAACCCAATCAAAAAACAATTTCTCGCGTGTGTCATTCTATGTTTTCTTCCTCTTCTATCGGAAAAACTCAAAAAAACCGTGTATTTGTGTGTTATGTGATTCCGACACGGGCAGAGGGAGCTGAGCATAACCTACTTCAAGTCCTTTTTGTGATAACAACTCGTTATTCACTCGACCAAAAAGCTAGTCAGAAAACTTAGAAACAAAAGTAATTTAACGTACTCTATAACAAAATAGATAAGATTTTAGATCAAAAATTAATTTGACGAAAACAAGTTTTGACCCTGGAAAAACAGAGTTCCCGAAAATAGTGTCTCAAAAGGCCTGCAAGCAGCTCCCATTGTGATATTTCTCATCAGCACTGCCGATTACCTATATCCGCTTGGTACGTCTCTCGGCAGTTTCGTGATTCAGAGCGTTACTGAAACGTTCGTATATCGCTGCTTCTTTAGAACAGTAGAGATGACTTTTATGGTCCAACTTACCTTTTGTAAATAAGAATAGTTACATCCACATTACATACATTAGTCTTTTTTTGTTCTTTCGACACGTTTTATTCTACTTCTGCTTTGACGATTATTTAATTTAAACAGATAACGACACGCGATCTGCAATGCACACTACTCATTGGTTTGTTCATTTCAAAGAAATAAGTCTAATGGACTTTCTTGAAGAAATCGGAGCACTTCTTAGGATAATAAATATAATAAATAAAGTTAAATTGATGTATCCAAGATCTTCGCGGTTGAAGAATTGGAAAGTTTGGGAGAATTGGAATTGGAGAATTGGAAGTTATACGAAGGAAGCAGTTGGTTATTGGAATTGTTGAAACTTGGTTAAGTTCAGAAAATGATATTAGTCAGTTAGTTCTTGATGGCTATGAGATCTTTATTCGTAAAGATAAAGAAGGACAGAGAGGTGGGGGTATATTGGTTTTTATTAGAAAAGGTGTAATGAGTAAAATATTTCTACTTTTAGCAGATAAGGGTTTTGAGACGTGTTTTTTAGTTTGAAACTTTCTCCGTCAGATTGTGTTCTATTTAACT